CATGAAATAAAATATAGTCGCTACTACGAACTCTTCGTCTTCTTCCTCTGTTGTTTAATTGCGGTTGGCAAACTACTACTAGTTGTTAAGACGAGACTCTTATTTTGAAGGGTGCTTTGGACATACAGGAAGTACATATTGTTCGACATGTAGTTTCCGGTACAGAATACGTTTATTTATGTTTATTTTCTCTAGTCTCGTTCTGTAGCTAACGTTACATTGGCTCCAGCTATGAGTGCAATTATACCTCGGATAGAGCAGCTGTCAGCCCGAGTTATTCGGGTTTTGGGCTGTAACCCGGGACCGATGACTCTGCAGGGAACTAACACTTACCTGGTCGGAACTGGGGAAAGGTCAAGTTGCTTTGTGGTTTATACTCGCAGCATGAAGTTCGCGTTATATTCTCTATACCAGAATATCTGTGTGGCCAAACACTTTGGGTTGCTGCCTAGGTAGCTCTCGGTGTGGCACGTTGAGTTGACGCGACTCTAGGTTTACCTTACACTCAAACACTACCTCACGCCAAATTCCGTTGAAAAATGAAAAATTCAGGGTTTCCTTGCTTGTAGGCAAACATACATGGACCAAGACTGCAATGTGCACAAATTTGACAGGATTCGCTGATTATTTCGGTATATAGTCAATATTAAGAATTTTGAGTAACTACTTAGTTCTGATCTTGGCAGTCAGGAAATATAGCGGACACCGGATATAGTATACCACCAGTTAGGGATAAGACAGGAGTCATATGATCAGTTCAGCTACAGTCGAAAGATAAAGTAAAGGCACTGTTTGCAATCTCCTGGTCTTCTGTATAAATTGGTTGTGAAATGTGAGCCATTCTTCACCAAAGTCAATAATATCAAAAAACACAATGTCCCTAACCTGATAAAACACACATGCTCTTTAATGTCTTTATTAAACACACCCATTAAACTTAGAAAGTGATGGTGGAGAAAAGACATAGCAACACGAGGCTTTTGAGGTCACTAAAAGTAAACTGGAGTCGGGTGTTAGCAAACCTGGAGTCCGATCAGTGAAACCAGAATGGAGGTGTGCTTTAGAACTACCTTGACTTATAAAAACACTCAAACAGTGTCAGTGTGCCAACCTGAAAGAAGGAACACCTTGTATTTGACATCAACTCATGAGGTCTGTGATGTTTTTACAGAGGTTTGAGATGGTTATTTGTACTAACCAACTGGGTACTTTGTGTGCATGTTTGAGAACTCTATGACTAAAAGTTTGGTTTCACATACTTTGTGAAAATGTACCGAGTGCACAGTATAAATAAATAAATGTGGATTTTTACTTTTAAAGCCTTGCATATAAATACATATATAACATGATTTTATTCCAGGCGGGTGCTGATAGACACTGGAGAACCTGCTGTGCCTGACTACATCAGCGGTCTGAAACAGGCACTGAAGCAGTTCAACACCAACATCCAGGAGATCATCGTCACACACTGGCATCTTGACCACACAGGAGGAGTGGAAGACATTTGCAGGAACATCACTGGTGAGGACAGTATGTGTGGTTTAATGACCTCTGAGCCTTTTAACCTGGTTTCAAGATGATCTCTATTCATGCCTACATTTTTGTCCAGTGTTTGCATGTTTTCCCTCCTGCAGGTTCTGATGTCAGAGTCAGCAAACTGCCTCGCTCCCCCAAAGTCACCGAGTCGGCAGGAGACAAGAACTATACTTACCTAAAAGATGGAGATGTCATCCAGACGGAGGGGGCCACACTCAAGTCAGTGAAGTTGAATACATATAGAGAGCATTATAAACTTGCAGGACATTCACTAGGAAGCAAAATCAACAACCAAAAGACCGAATTAAAGACATAAATAATATACATCAGAGAAAGATCTGTTTTTAAAAAGCCCTTATCATGGTGAAACTGTAGACTATGTTGAAAATTGATCCTTGGGGAATGCCACAAGTTGTTTAAGGTTGTCATGTGCTCAGTGTGTGATGAGTATCAAAATACACACTGGCACAGATAATGTTTGAATCTTGTTGCTATTTGAGCAGAGAGCAGTGTTTTATGTCTTTTTCCCAGGGTGCTGTTTACCCCGGGCCACACTGATGACCACATGGCCTTGCTGCTGGAGGAGGAGCAGGCGCTCTTCTCTGGAGACTGCATCCTGGGTGAGGGGACAGCCGTCTTCGAAGATCTCTATGACTACATGAAATCTCTGAAGATCCTGCTGGATTGTCAGGCTGACCTCATCTACCCTGGTGAGTGACATTCTGGAATGTGTGCTACGCTATTTTGTCAGACTTTCTAGACAGGTTTGTTTCTTTTTTTTTACCCTTTAGTTACCTGAGGAAGCTTTTTTGAGAGTACTGGGCCTCATTCACCATTTATTCTGAAGAACACATTTCTTCTTAAAGCCCACTGACGCATTTTTCACAAAGATTCTGACATTAGCCAGTGTTTTCTTATCTGGAATTTTTTCTTAGGTAAGAACGGAATCTACACACACTCAGGAGCACACTTATTGAGTGGTGGCATGTTTGTGTGAAATAACTGGTTATTTAGTTTTCAATCTTATAGTTTTATCATAGCATAAGATTTAAATTACATTAACATTCAAGATCAAGATCAAGCATTTTTATTGTCAGTTCACTATATGTGCAGGACATACAGAAAAATTTAAATACTGTTTCTCTCTCACCTAATGTTGAATGCCCATACCATTTAAAAGTAACAAACACCACTAAAAATTACATTAATCAGTTATTTGCTTGTTTATAAATAAAGCCTTTAAAATTCATTTGACTATTTATAACTTAGTGTCAAGAAAGAGTTTACTTAAAAACCAAACATGTTTAAGTGCATATCTTTCTACTGAGTTCTTTAGGTGTCTTGGATATTGCGGCCAGTGTTGAAGCTGTCTCTGTAAGTGACTTTTCTTTTCATTCTCTGTGAGACTCCTGTGTGTGCACATGGCCCTGCTGTCTCATGCCCTTTTATGATTGGCAGAGCGTTAACCTATGCTAATTAGGAATGACTGGGATTCATTATTGTAAGAACACTGGTGTCAGCAGTTCTGTGGGTTAAGAACATGTTCTTGAATCAGGCGCAGATGTTCCTTAGGACCTTTCTTAAGAATAAATTCAAGAAAAAAAACTCTGGGAGATTTAGGGGAATGAGGCCCAGTGTTGTCTTGGGAAGGTTCTGTTTATAACCCAGACAGTTAATACACATTCACACCTGGAAGCTGCCCAGTACAACCACAGTACTGTGGAGCTGAGACCACCTCAGTGGTGAGAGAGTAATCGAGTAGGGGAAGTGCCGATTTATCCTGCTGCTCCAGGGGTCAGAGCGGCGACCTTCCACTCAGGATCTCGCTTCTCATATGTTTTTCATTTCTCTAATATCCATTCCCACAGTTCTTATTATTTCTTAAAGATTATTTTCATTATTGTTAATCTTATTTATTTTAAATTCATTGATTAATTTTCTATAAAATCTTTGAAAATATAAAAAAAGCCCAAATCCTCACTTTTTGAGAAGACGCAACCAAGTTCTTTTTTATTAAATGACCCAAACGATTGACCTACTGACAACATTGACGTGACTAATTTTCACTCAATCAACTTTGATTTCATATTGTCCTACTAGTTTTGCTTAATATTCTTTGACTTCTGCCATTGTCTTTTTTAATCAGCAATTATTATTCTCCGTTGCTATGTTAAGATCCACCTCCTGTCAAGCACACAAACAAGTCAAAGCTAGACGCATCTGCAATCACTTTGTTTAATCAAATGAAACAGTTTGAAAATGATTACACATAATTGGCACTTTAATTTGATCCTTTAAATGGATGAATGTCAGTCTGACTCTCGTTCATTAAAACATCTTGTGGATGATTGGATTAAATCTCTGCTGCTGTGTTCTGTGCAGGTCACGGCCCCGTGGTTCAGGATGCTGCCTCTAAGATTAGACATTATATAAGCCACCGGGACCAGCGAGAGCAGCAGATCCTGGCGGCCATTCGGGATGGAGCAGGAAAGCCTTTCTCTTCCATGGAGCTTGTCAAGATTGTCTACAAGGTTGGGACAGACCCCTGTGTTACTTCTGATTCTTTTTCCAGCCTGTAGTCCAGGGCTGACTGGTGTGAGTTGTAGGGGTGTAACGCAATCTCCTGATACTAAAACAGGACAATATTTGTTGTCGAGGCAAAAGTTGTCTGGCGATATCAGTACATAACAGAACCAGACCAGTATGATGGAGTGTGACCATACTGTATGTTCATGTTAGTCCGGCAAAAACACAACTCTCTGCTGTGTTCTTACGCATGGGGGTGGGGGTGTTGTAGGCGTGTAAAATACGGCCATGTTGTGATGAGTCAGTGTGAGCGGCTTCATTCATGTTTGTAGGCCGGGAGTTTCCATTGTGTTTTGGTTGGCCATGCTGCTAACGTAGCCTACTCCGCCTTAGCACCAATTCTACCACCAGTCGGCACAAAAAAACCAGTTTAACATCCAGTACTAACGAAAATGCGTGGCTTGTCGTTATGGTGCGTTAACTGTGGCCCAGATTCGACAGTGAATAGCAGTGAATGCTGATGCTAACAAGGTAAACAAAAGTCTTCATCCCTTGGGGGTCCATGTCCCGCTCATCCTCTGTACATGATTGGTCAACGCAGCACCTCTGCCGGATGATGTCACTGTCTGATGTGGTGAAAAGTTGAACCAGATCCAACCTTTTGCCGGAGCACCTTGCAGTGCTGGTGCCAGCTGTGGTGAACGCAGTCCCCCATAGAAATGAATGGAGATTTACGTCTATGGAGGTGGCCTGAAAATGCGCAGCCTGCAACCAGTCACACAGACCTTTGTACACTGAAGCAGTCAAAGCAGAATGCTTTGCTTTTCCCAACTCTTCATTGCTTGTCTTCCAGGACACCCCTGAACACCTGCACCAAGCAGCTAATGTGAATTTGGTCCATCACTTAACGAAACTAGAGAAAGAAGGCAGGGTTTCTTTGGGTATGTATTTTCCTATCACAGAGAATTTTAGAGAATTAGTTTTGACAAGTTAATTTTATTAAAGAGTCAATTCAACCAAGTTAAGTTAGATAATGCACTTGCTGACTGTCAGCTAGACTCCTAGTTTAACACATTTAAATTTTTTCCTACAGTGAAAGAGTCCTCAGAGAGCATCAAATGGAAGAGTAACCTGTGACATCCACCACAACAGCAATGAAATGGACTCTGTTGGATGATTTGTCCAGAATGATAAAACTCTCTCTGATCTACAGTTAATTTTGTTCCAATTGAAAGTGAACACCTTTCAGCAGAATGTTTGTGCTAGATTGCCTTTGGTCTGCTGATTGACTAAAGTGTTCATGGAAAATAAGGGATGTGGTTAGACTTGTTTTCTTGGAGGTTTCCTGACTCAAAGTGTACATAACAAGACCAAGAACTGGACTTGACAGGATTCAGCCCATGTTGTAGTTTAACAAGGTTAAATTTGTATGAAGGTCAGTTGATTTGTATCTGTAAAGGTCCTTTAACTCAAGAAAAAAAAAAGTTTACTTTAGTTTAAGGAAAGGGTCTGAGATTTAAGAGGTGATAGATGCGTGCGTGGTTTTCGCCAAACTTAAGTGTTAGAGACTAGAGAGTTAGTTTTGTCAAAGTGGTCTTCCCCAGGTGTCAGGACATCACCATGATGGGTTTTTGTTCTCTCCCAGGATAGTCTTTATATGTGTACTGGGCAGGATTTTCATGGAAATGGATTGGACATGTTTTATCTGGGAAGGGAAAAGAGTTTTTTTTTCTTCAGGCTCATCTATATCCACATGTATGTATGTGTATGTGTATGTGTGTATATATATGTGTGTGTATACAAATTGCCATTTACAGATTTTTAGTTGCTATTCTTACTTATAAACTTAGAATACTACCCAAGTATAGTTAGTTAATTTCAGCATGTCACACATTTTTGGCTTGTCACTAGGTGGCAGTATCTACTAAATAATTTCATTGGGAAATAACTTGCATGGTAAAATTGCAATCTTTGTAGTTATAACATTACAAACCGAACAAAGAATTATTTAAAATGTCTTAAATTTGCTTCAGATATTTGTAAAGAATGCCATTTTGTTGGAAAGATTACATTCAAAAAATACTAAATGATCTACAGTGAGTTATTGTTGTGTTTTTGTGACCATGAATGATAATTGTTGTGCATTTGAGGTAATTATTTGCTCATTCATACTGATATTTATAACTCAACTACAGAATACGTAAGTACTTGGGTATTAAATCAGGACGATGAGCCAATATTCTGGTGAGTAAGAGGTTTTTTGTTTGAACCTTTAGCCTCTAGGTGACCCCTCAGTGAGTGTGATCAGTTTTCTTATTGGCTAAAAGCACTGATGCAATCTTTTCCCAGAGCCAAAGGTTGAGTTTCTGTAAGGTTTATATATAAACTGCTCATTGTAGAACTGAGTGTTGACTTTGCTCAGAGCAACCTCACCACTTATGATGGTAACCTACATGAATCATGCAGCAGATTGGAAAGACACTACAGGCCTCCAAGGCAAGCATTGCTGCATGTAACCTGAATACTACAGTAACATGGTAAAGTGCTTATATAGATGGGTTTAATTTCAGTGGACTACACAATTCAGACATAAACCTCCAATATTCCTGTATGTTGCAATCATGAGTATATTGGTTTTAGAATATGCTAAGGGCATTTTAAAATATGGCCATGGGACCCCTGGTAGAAATTAACTTTGTATGCAAAAATGTGGTCATTTATAGTGATGGAAGAAGTACTCAGATTGTTTACTTATGTAAAAGTGGCATAACTACTGAAAATACTTTTTTTTACAAGCAATAGTCTGATTCGTAAAAGTAAAGTTGCTTAATACGTGTAGTGCAGTAGCCTAAAAAGTACAATATTTACCTCTAAAACAAAGCAGACAAAATGATTCTAATACAGATACTTAAACATTGTACATAAGCACAGTACTTGAGTAAATGTACTTTGTTACCTTGCACCTCTGTTCATTTCTCTTGATCAGTGGGTGATAAACTAATCAAGTAAATGGATTATATGACATTTAGTGAATGTATTACTGACAGCTGAAAGAAAAAAATCCACTACAAATACAATTTCGTTAAAAACACAGGAGGTATACAGACAATATTTGAAATCCTTATTAGAATATTACAGTAAAATGGTAGGAAGTGAACAGAATTAATATCTTAGCTTTTAGTTAGGTTAAAGAGCTGTCAGTAGTTGGTGTGTGAGAGGTGGTGTAGAGACACCCAGCTCTGCAGTGTGCTAATGAGATGAGTTGTGGTGGTGGAGGGGGGGTGTCTACTGGTAAAGATAAACAGCCGAGGAACCTCTGAGCCAGAGAAACATGGCGGCTCCGGCCCTGGTCGCTGCTGTCGCTCCGTCACGCTGACCAACACCTCACCGACAGACGCATCCCGCACAGCACGCACCCTTGGTTTCTCAACTCTCAGGTAAGTTTCCTGTCATTCTCTTGACCTCCCCCTGCTCCTCCAATCCCACCCACAAAAATTAACCATATGATATTTCCTGAGGCAGCTTGTGTAAAGTGTGTTTGCCAGTTTATATCGAGGTTAACATATTTTTTGGTGCATTTTTGCCACATTAATGGTCCCACAACATTACCGTTATGACATTTGTATGGTGTAAAAAATATATATATTTTAGGATAAACTAGTGGAGTCCGCGTCAGAATCGATCGGTATATATCGTGAGGGTTATTCTCAGTGTTCGCTGTGTTTTAGCATATTTAATGAACTGTTAGCGAGTGTACGTAGGACCTGTCGGTTCAGCTGACCGCTATCGGTACCGAACCGGGTTTTTAGGCAAAATTAGGGTCAACTAAACGTATAAAAACGCTACTTTCCGCAGGTTATTTGCCACCGTTGTCAAGTCTCACGTTTTTCGAGGGGGAAAAAGTAAACGGTGGTACAGTGCTGTATTTGTTTAACGCGTTGAAACACTGCGTGAAAGCTGCACAAATGTCATAAACGGGAATCTGCTGTTTTCACGTAAACTATTATAGCTGTTAAACCCCCTTCCTGTCTGATCTAAACAGCCGATAACTGAGTTTAGCTATGTGAACCCTTACGTTAGCTTCAAGCGTCTGTATTCGTGTTTTGTTGGTGTCAGAGTAGAATTTCACGACCTCATTAGTTAAGTCTTGGCTATTTTATAGGTGTTTTGAGACTGAGATAAACGTATAGTAGTTTTACAGAGAAATTTTTTAGTTATTCCCGGTTGATATTGAACGTACTTCCTCAACCACCTCGAGGGTCAGGTGAAACAAGATAGCCGCACAGTTCCTGATTGGTTTTTCAAAATAAAACAAACGATGATAATTAATTTTGTAATAAGTTAAATTTAATTCGGCATGACCTTTTCTTACATATACACGCTGGGGTGTTACTGTGTTTCGGTTGTCAGGCCGTATTAACTCAAATCAAGTGTGGCATCAGAGGACTCTTTATTGAGTTAATGTAACCCCATTTACGAAGTTACAGACAACTAAACAGAAGCTGTAGTGAAACCTCTGGTAGGCTAATCAGTTTTCTATCCCTGCTATTCTTCTAGTGTTTTTGGTGTTCTTGTAGTGTTTTGTTTTGTGTTGCTCATATTTTGAAGAGTAAATTGCCCTGTGCTCGCTCTTGTTCCTCTTCATTCTTGTTATCTTGACATAGTTCATCCATCAGCCTTGGGCAATCAAGCGAAAAGACGTCTGTCCTTCCAGAATATACATTTTTGAGGTAATCGGTTGTAACCACGCAGGAATAAGCAGAGAATAATAAGATGGATCCTGGTAAAAGTGGAACATATTTAAAATCATATTACTTCTCACTCGTAATCCCATTCCCAGCAATGTCAGTGGGAGTAAAAGCAGGTTAAACACAGTTTGCTAGGGTGCAGAGCGGAGGCAGGACATTTTTCTTAATACAGTATGTGCTTGGTTGATACTTCTGTTTGAAAGCAGTATGGCATTCGATGAGCTGCAGGGCTGTGACCTACACAGCTGTATGAGTTTATACTAAATGGAAATGCAGTGCATCTTAACCATTGTCTAAAATAAGCATTTGTCAGTGCAGGTAGAGAATAAGAGTTTGTCTGTGTTTGCTGTTGTGCTGGCATGTTACTACTGGAACCCTGTAACTTTGCCTACGTGACAGGTGCCATCTGACTCATCTGGATATGTTATCTTTGAGGGCTGGACTCATGATTTTATTTTTTTATTTATTTTTGGTCTCATTAAGCTTATTTGCTCTTCCCTGCACCCCAAAGTAAACCGTGAAAAAGATTACAACATGTACACTAGGTTGTCAGGCACTGTCTTTATCCTCTTCTCCCAGAGCAAAGTTTTTGTAGTCTGTTTTGTTTTTTAGTTTCCTTAAAGGGTTGATGGCTTTTAATGGTGTTTATACATCTGCACAGTTTGGTAGCATTAAAAAAAAAAAACCATTGAACATGCCTGTTTTTAGTGTGTATGCAAAAATTGACGTGGATCTGTTTCTGTTTTGGGTTTATTATAATTTGATCAACACTGCTTTTGTCAGAACCAGCTCAGTGGCAACACTACTCTGTAGAGCTACAGCAAGAGTGCAGGAATGTTCTTGAGACCAATATTTTAACATGAGGTTGGCAGCTTGCCCAGTGAGGGATCCTTAGTGGCTTGATAAGTCCAAACCACATGAGGGCACAAATAATGTCCTGACCAAAGACAACAAGAATAGGAGGAGGAAGGACACAGGCTTGACTGTGCACGTTTTTGTAGGTTTTCTACCAAGCCTTCAGAAAATATTTAGTCTCTTTCATTTTTTGCTCTATATTGTGTTGTAAATTAAATTTGAAGTGGATAAAATTGTCATTTTTTTGCTCACAAATCTACACTCAAAGGGAAAACAAGCATATTTGTTACAAATTTAAAAACTAGAATTTTTAATTTACAAAAGTATTCAGATTGTTAATTCAGTAATTTGTAGACACCCCTTTGGCAACAATTACAACTTTGAATGTTCTTGATATCTACAAGCTTCTCCCATCATGCTTCAGAGGTTGTACTGTATATTGAAGCATTGCAGATACAGTATAGTAGTTAAAAGCTGTTTCACCATGTTTGGATTCAATTCTAGGAACAATAAGCAGTCCCAAGCTCAGAGGTCCTGTATGTAGATCCTGTAAACAGTAGACTATATACATCACTTCATAAATAATTCATTACAGATTGCATACAGTATTAGATCTTATATACACACATGCACCATCTTATGTCTAGCAGGCATAGTGCTTGGAGTTGTGCCCAGAGTTCACTTTTAGTCTTGTCCAACCCTCATGCTCTCAGTTAGTAAATGCCATTTGACAAACTCCAATCAGATGTCATCTGCTTTTTACTCAAAGTGGTCTCCATCTAGCCGCTCTGCCATAAAGACTTGACTGGTGGTGGAGTGTTGCTGAGATGGAAGACTCCTGTACGGAGTTTCCCATCTCTGTAAAGGACTTGTTGAGGGCTGACCACGGCCCTCTTTGCCCAGTTACACAGTTTGGCTGGGTGGCCCCGATCTGTGTTTCACTACAGATGTGGAGGTCTCCAGGGAGCTCTATGGACTTTATGGGTTTTCGTCCAGACATACATTGTGAACTATGGGACCTTTTATATACACAGGTGTGTTTGTAAACTATGTCTGGCCATTTAAATTTCCACAGGTGTACTTGAGTACACTTCTAGGCACATCTCTAGTATGATCAGAGCAAACAGGATCCATCTGACCACAGTTTGGAGCAACAGCAAAGGCTCTAAATATGTTTGTAAATGAGAATGCTGTTTTTGATTTTTAATACATTGGTTTGTTTTCACTTTGTCATCATGGGTTATTGAGCGTAGATTGTTAGGAAAATGGCAAATTTATCCATGAAACCATCGCACTATATCTGTCGTAATTTTGCTGGTGGTAGTTGCTAACCATACCAGCCAACTACATGCTAACCATTGTGACGTTCACAAGATATCTTTGTAATGTCTCTAAGACACATTGTCCATTTAACTCCACTCTACTGGTGCATCTGTACATTGACTGGTATTTTTCCAAGGTGTGTGTGTGTGTGTGTGTGTGTGTGTGTGTGTGTGTGTGTGTGAGTGTTACTCTACTCAGCTGTGTTTATGTCTGCTTTTCAGACTGCCACCAACTTATTAGACACACACACGGCCTCCTGCTTTTTGGTCACATAACAGAGACGGTTGTCTTTCAGGTTTGATCCTCCTGAGACCAAGTGCTCTAATTAACCAGTACACACACATATACACACACACACCCACAAAGATATCTCATCACTCATCTGAAGGCTTCCTGTACTGCCTCAACATCATAACTACTGTAATATTCCCATAGAGCATGTGCATATAGTATGGTAAACGTTTTATTTCAAAGTTTCAGTACAGATTTTTAACTGTTATGTGACTCAAATGTATTAGTGTTGAGTCTTGATTACTGTGGTATGTGTGCATAATCTAGCGTTCTTTGCAGTTTGTAATGATTTGCTTTTAGGTTTCTGTCTCTAGGGCAAATGTTTTGATTTGGAGTCATACATAACTTAAAGCACACAAGAAGCGCCAACAAGGCACACAGGGTTTATTTCAGCTTGCCAGTGTCTCTGGGTTCTTGAAAGGCAGTTAGGGGAGGAGAAGAGCTCTCACATTTCAAAAACAGCAGCCAGACAAGGAGCCGCAATATGTCGCTAGTGTACACGCTCACTTTAGGTATATCAGAAACGCTTTGCTCAAATGTGCAGGGAATTTCTCCTGGTTACACTTAGGTGGCCATGTATCGACCAGAGACGGTTTCACATTTCCGAATATAATGTAGACTGCAAGAGACACAGCCTATACAAGGCAATGTTTGAGCAGCACATGACATAGCTATATGTTAATTAAAATACACCTTTTTTTTTATAAGAAATTCAGTTTAAAGTGGAAGACAAAAAAACTGTTATTAAGATAAAACCCCTAGAAGAAACTGAAGAGCCAGCCTAAAATAGCCTAAAGTTGGACTGAAAGCATTTTGAGCCTTGAAGCAAGTCTCAGATATACAGTGTACTACAGCATACTAGTTAAAAGATTTAGCCATGTTTGGATTTAATTCTAGGAGCAATACACTCAGAGCTCATTTATTCAGGGTATGTTCACTGAGAGGAGGACTGTTTCACGAAGAACACCCTGATCATATTCCCACCTGGAAGCTGCCCGGCACAACCACAGTCAGACCTGCTGGCCACTGAGTAGCTCCACTGGACTCCACCCGTCATGTTTGCTGAGGATGTCTGAATTTTACACCAGTTAACAGTTTATTCAAGTTACAAGCTTAAAGTTGTTGTGATCTTTTCCTCAGGTGAACACCAAAGTGGAATTACACTTGGGGATGGATTCCCATCTGTATGGTTTATATATGAATGGAACTGCCTGAAAGAA